CTTGAAAATGTCTGGACTTCAACTCCCAGAATTCCCCAAGACTCCTATCCAATCATCTCTCACTGGTATTCTGTCAGGGAATTGTGCAGCAGTTGTCCAAAGGAAGTCAGAAAGGCTGACATGTGTAGTTTTACATAAATGTATTTTATGCCTATATGTACATCAAATAAGATATAGTCAGGCAAACAGGAGCACCATGAGGTAAATCGGCAGGGAAATCACAGAACAGCATAAAGGGCCCACAAAAGAAAAAGGCGGGGGAAAAAAGGGAAACTCCACACTCACAGCAATCAATCACAGTGCAGATTGCCTCACAGAGGAGCCAATCAACTGTATGTTCTGGCTCACTGCACAACTTCCACTGCTCCAACTACTAAATTTAAATATAACATATTCTCTAGGGGATTCGAACTGCAATTCCCAGAATTCCCCAGTCAATAGAGCATTGTAGGGCCAACTGCTCTGGAAAGCACCAGTTTGGAAAAGGCAGGTCTAATTAAACCTTTGCTGTTACTCATCCTGGGCCAAAGAGGCTGCAGGTGCGAGATAACATCTGATTGGGCGATGCCATCCCCACCCACAAGTCCTCATCATGCCGTATCTCTTGGAGAAGGTTTTGCCCAACACAGAATGTGACTACAGATGGCCCTCTGTTTACGACCACAATTGAGCCCAAAATTTCTGTTGCTAAGCAAGACCGGTCACATGACCCCGGGACACTGCAGTTGTCATAAATACATAACGTTTTCCCAAATGCCCAATTTTTAATCATGTGGGATGTAAGTGTGAAAAACGGTCTTAAGTGAGTTTTGCCCCATTTTATGACCTTTCTTGCCGCAGTGGTTAAGTGAACCACTGCAGTTGGTAAGTGAGCAGCAGCGATGGTTGTTAAGCGAATCTGGCTTCCCCCATTGACTTAGCTTGACAGAAGTTCATAAAAGGGGATCACATGATCCCGGGACACTGCAACTGTCCTAAATAAAAGCTGATTGCCAGGCATCCAAATTTTGATTAGGAGACCATGGAGACGCTGCAAAGGTCATAAAGGGTGAAAAATGGCCATCAATCACTTTTTTTTCACTGCCATTATAACTTCGAACGGTCACTAAATGAGTGATTGTAAGTCGAGGACTACCTGTCGTCTGTCAGCTGCCCCCTCCCCTCACTGCTTGCTGTTATCTCCTGGAAGGACATTTCAAGGTCATCCAGCCTGCCCATTCTCAAAACATTTGGCTTGGACTTGATGGGTTGGAGAGGGAGGCAGTAATGGGAGGCAGGGATTTTGGCACGGGATTCTCATTTCTGGCCATGCATTATTGAAATACACTTGATTTCTAATAAAACTATACCTTTTTCAAAAAATGGAGCCTAGGATCGTTTCTATTTAGAGCAGTGGTTCTCAACCTGTGGGTCGGGACTTCATTTGGGGTCGAACGACCATTTCACGGGGGTCGCCAAACAACGCAGCCCGCCATTTTTTTCCACTTTTCCTTAGCTGTGCTACTCCCTTTTATTCTATTGGCTTTTGAAAGCCAATAGAATAGACTCTCTTGAATAGAGTCTAATTCTATTGGCTTTCGAAAGCCAATAGGAATTGTCCAGGCTGTCTCTGCCCTGCTGAGCCCGCCAAAAGTCTCATTCTGCAAACGGTGCTGCACCAGTTGAGTAGTCCTCGACTGACGACCGGTTGGGTGTCGCGGCATTAAAAAGGCTGATTTAGAGGCTGTATGTTGCAGCAAGTCTACCATAGTCCTCGTTTCATGACCATTTGTTCAGCAACCATTTGAAGTTACAAGGGCACTGAAAAAAGTGATTTATGAGCGGTCTTCGCACTTAACAGCTGTCGCAGCAATTGATCACCGATCCTGGTACCTCTGAACATGACATGGTCACATAGTGAGAAATGGTGGTGTATAGCAACCGGAATTAGTTATGACGATTGCAGCATCCCAGGGTCACTTGATTGCCTTTTGTGATCTTCGCAGCTGGCTTCTGAGAAGTAAAGTCAATTGGGGGGAAACTGGGTTCCCTTAATGGCAAGATTCGCTTAACAATTGCAAGATTCACTTAGCAACCGATGGCAAAAAGGTTGTAAAATCGGTCTCAACTCACTTAACAACTATCTTGCTTAGCAACAGAAATTCTGGTCTCAATTGTGGCCGTATGTTGAGGACCACCGGTATCCCTTCTCTGTCGCAGCACCCACTTTTTGAAATAAATATTCCCCCAGATAGCAATATCGCTGCCCCCAATAATGTTCTAAGAATCTTAAAATGTATTTCCCAGGCAAGGGGTGGGATGCCTGTTAAGATTTGTTGATTGTGTTTTTTTTATATATGGGGTGTGGTTGTCCAGTTGTATAACGTTTCCTATGAACTCTTTCTTAACTGTAAGCCTCGTGGAAGCGTTTTGTAATCAGCTGGCTTTTCAATATAAAAAATAACAATAGTAACAACAACAAAAACCCCTTCCCCCTTTTTCTGTAAAGTTTAAAATATTTAAGGGAGACAATTTTGGCTTCAAGAGTTCAGATAAATCCCTGGAGACTAGGCTTTATTTCCTGTTTCCCTACTATATGTGTGTGTGTATGTGATTGTCTCTCTGGGTTTATATAACGGATAAGCAAAATTGCAATTGAACATGGCTGGGGGCAAGGGACAGAACGTTCTGGGGGGGTTGGGTACCCCCCAAACGTATGGTTTGCCGGACTCAGGCGTCCGTAGTGGTGGCTTCCCACTGGTGGGTGAAATTTGGCAGTCTGCCACCTATGGGGAGGGTTGTTCGGGAGTCATTTGAACCTTCTGTAGGGATGGCTTCCTCCCCGAAAGGGCCGCTTGCTCTGGGTTTAGTGCCTGGGTTTGGGTCCGGACCTGTCCGGTTGGCGGTCTTGCCTGGGAGTGAAAGGAGTGTAAGGCCGGGATGGCTGGGAGGGGTGAGAGAAGCTTGAGCCCGTTCCTGCCCGAAAGGACTGTCTTCGGGTGTATGGGGTTGAACGCCTGTCAGCCCGCCTGCTGGAGTTAAATCAGTAAATCTCCAAATCACTGCTTCATTTCTGCCATCTTCAGGGAAAAAAAAAAAAACTCCATAAAGGTTTTCCAGTCTTTTGTAAAAGTAGAATTGTTGTTCCCTGCTTAATCAAACTGGTCAGCTGTTCCATTTCTGCAAACTCAGCCACCTTCACTATCTAGCCTTCCATTGTGGTTATTTCTGTAGTCTTCCATCTTTGTGCATACAGTAAAGCCGCTGTAGGAAAAAATTGCAATTTGGATGGTATATTTGGAAAGAAGAGAAATTTTATTTAGAGAAGTACTAAGGATGAGCAAATAAGCACATAAGATGAGCAAATAAAAGGAAGGCTGGATCAACTAAGATTCTCTAGCTTGTACTACAATAGGAAAGGTTTGCTTCAGATATTCTATTCTGTTCTGTTCTGTTCTGTTCTGTTCTATTCTGTTCTGTTCTATTCTATTCCCATTCCCGGTCCCATTCCCATTCCCGGTCCCAGTCTCCTATCCTGTCCTGTCCTGTCCTGTCCCTATCCCTGTCCCTGTTCCTGTCCCTATTCCTATTCTTATCCCATTCCATTCCAGGTCCCAGTCTTCTATTCTATTCTATTCTATTCTATTCTATTCTATTCTATTCTATTCTATTCTATTCTATTCTATTCTATTCTATCAGTCTGTTTTGGAACGTTCTCCTTTTTCTCAGCATAGTCTACCTCACCAAGAGGTTGGGAGAGTTCAAATATTTACAAGTAGTTCTCGACTTATGACCACAATAGGGATCGTAAAATTCATTTAAAAATTTAAGTGATGCAGTTGTTAAATGAAGCTTCAGGTGACCACCAATAATTTTAATTATCTTTTTTGCTGCAAGACTTTAAATGAGACATCACGTGACCCTGACTTGCAACTTTCCCTGCTGGCTTCCAAGTTAAACTTGGTTGTTGCAAGCCGGGTGGGAAGGTCACAAGTGGCCATCTTTGTGATTGCGATGTACAATGGTTGCCGAGCGTCTGGCTCACCATCACGTGACCCCCCAGGGATGTTGCAACAGTGAAAGCATAAAAATTGGCCTTAAGTCACATTTCACAGTGCCGTCATAACTTTGAACGGTTGCTAAACAAATGGTTGTAAGCCGAGGATTATTTGTATTTTTAATATAGGTAGTTCTTCACTTACAACCATTTGTTTAGTGGCCATTCGAAATTACAACAGCACTGAAAAAAAGTAGCTTATGACCGGTTTTTACACTTCATGATCACTGCAGCACCCCATAGTCATATGATCAAAATTCAGACTCTTGGCAACTGGCATGTACTTATGACTGTTGCACTGTCCCGGGGTCATGTGATCACTATTTGTAACCTTCCCAGCTGGCTTCTGACAAGCAAAGCCAATGGGAGAAGCTTAATTTGTTTAATAATTACATGTTTTACTTAAATAATTGCAGTGCCACTTAACAACTATGGTATAAAATGCCGTAAAATGGGCCGTAACCTGCTTAACAACTGCCTTGCTTAGCAGCGGAAATTTTGGGCTCAGTTGTAGTCATAAGCTGAGGACTACCTCTAATCATTGAGGTCTCTGTGTAGTCTGGTGAGAATAAGTGGAATATGAGCATAATAAAAATATTTGAAATAAATCCTAATGGGGGATTACTGATGTACTGTGTATGAAAGGAGTTATCCTAAAGCGTCACTGTTGGAGAAACAACTAAACCACTAATATAGCTTTTTTTCCTCTCGTCTCACATAATATTTTGACAGCTGAGTCATTCTTTTCCTGCTTTCCTGACTCTGGTTGCTGCAATTGCCTGCCACCTCCTGTCCTGTCAAAAACACATTTATTTTAATGTGGTTTCTTTAGAATTCAAATTAAACACTCTTCATTAGAGTTTGTGTGCATATTTTCTGCCATCTACTGGTGAATCCTAAGTCCTGCAGGTCAAACAATTAACCCTGTATTCCCCCATCTCATCTCAATCTTTTCTGGTTTCAGATTCACCTATGAGGATTATAAGCGGACAGCAGATTGGCTCCTGAGTAAAACCAAGCATCGTCCCCGAGTGGCTATCATCTGTGGCTCAGGACTTGGGGGGCTGGCTGACCTCCTAAAGGACCAAGTCGTGTTTGAATATGCTAAGATACCCAACTTTCCCCAAAGCACAGGTAATGGGAGATGGCCAGGGAGTGTAATTTTCATGCAGAACACTGGGTGGTGCCATAAACCAACAGAATACAGAGAAGCTGCAATGCAACAAAATGGCCACCGGGGGCATCAACAAAATGGCCACCGGGGGCATCAGCAAAATGTTTAACCCTTTCCTTGTCTTATTAAAGTTGTAGGCCACGCTGGGAAGCTAGTGTTTGGGAACTTGAGTGGGACGCCGACTGTGGTGATGCAAGGTCGATTCCATATGTACGAAGGCTACCCACTGTGGAAGGTGAGTCACTCCTCCCAGACCTGCAGTCATTTCAAAACTAAGATATTGATCCAGTCATAATTTGAAAAACTGTGGAAAACCAATGAATTATAATAAAAGGACCAAGTGTCTCTGAGCACACTCAGAGATACTTTCTAGTGCTATTAGTCCAAAATTTAAAAAATGCAAAAGAAAGTCTCCAGGATGAACTTAGGGCAAGCGTGTTCTCTCAGCTAATCTCCTTCAAAGGGATGTTGTATGTACCGTATTTTCCAGTGTATAAGACGACTTTCTAAAGCATTCAAATCGATTCCGAAGTCGGGGGTCGTCTTATACGCTGAGTCGTCTTATACGCCGGAAATTATGGTGTTTTCCAGCGTATAAGACGACTTTCTAGGCATGCAAATTGGCTCTGAAGTCGGGGGTCGTCTTATACGCCGAGTCGTCTTATATGCCGGAAAATACAGTATGTATGTATGCATGTATTTGTTTGTTTGTTTAATTATTATGAAATTTATTTGCCACCCATCTTATGTCAAACATGGCAAAAAAAGCCATTTTCTCTCCCTTCTTTGGAAGAAAGATGAAAAGCCAGTAGATCTTTGCAGAGGTACAGCTGCAAAATTTGTCACTTATATTCTTGTGAAGAAAGGAAAAATACTTGGGGAATTGCCACATTCATCCTAGGAAAGTTCCAGGCCAGACTGGAATAATTTTAAATTAAATGGAGCAACACCCTTTATAACAGTGTTTCTCAACCATGACAATTTGAAGGCATGTGGACTTCAACTCCTAGAATTCCACAGCCAGCAATGCTGGCTGTGGAATTCTGGGAGTTGAAGTCCACATGCCTTCAAATTGTCAAGGTTGAGAAACATTGCTTTATAAACTCCTTAACTCTACCTAATGATGAAGTTGTTCTTGCGTTTTTCCTTCAGCTCATCTTTAATTCATCATAAGAATGTTTTATGTTGTAGGTAGCTCAATGGGCAATGGGTTTCCATAGTTATTCCATCCAAGAGCTGCCTCAGAATGGGTGGAATTTGGTCTTGGTTATCACAACAGCATCAATCCAGCTTCAGGCTTCAATTAAATGAATATTGTTCCTGTTATATTGCCCCGAAGAGCTGACAACTTATTTCACTGGCAGGAAAAGGGCAGAGACAGATTCCTGAATTCTGAAAGCAGAACATTTAGGTGCCTCCAAGCCAAGGGGTCTTTCTTAAGTGTTTAGATAAAACAGTGCCCTTCAAAAGGAAACTACAGATGATTGCAGGTAAAATTCGGATAGATGGATTCCTTGCTTTGCTTAGAGCCGTCAGAGAACTGGAGACTAGCTTCCTGTATCTCAGTGGTTCTCAACCTGTGGGTCGGGACCCCATTTGGGGTCGAACGACCATTTCACGGGGTCGCCAAACAACGCAGTCCGCCATTTTTTCCCCTTTTCCTTAGCTGTGCTACTCCCTTTTATTCTATGAGCCGAGGTGGCGCAGCAGTTAGATTGTAGTACTGCAGGCCACTTTAGCTGATTGTGTTCAGCAGGTCAGCGGTTCAAATCTCACCGGCTCAAGGTTGACTCAGCCTTCCATCCTTCCGAGGTAGGTAAAATGAGGACCCAGATTGTTTGGGGCAATGTAAATAGATATATACATTGCTTACTGGTGTACACCGCTTAGAGAGTGCTTGCACTTAAAGCGGTATATAAGTCTCATAAATAAATAAATAAATAAATAAATATTGGCTTTTGAAAGCCAATAGAATAGAGTCTCTTGAATAGAGTCTAATTCTATTGGCTTTCAAAAGCCAATAGGAATTGTCCAGGCTGTCTCTGCCCTGCTGAGCCCGCTAAAAGTCCCATTCTGCAAACGGTGCTGCACCAGTTGAGTAGTCCTCGACTTACGACTGGTTGAGTAGTCTTCGACTTACGACTGGTTGGGGGTCGCGGCATTAAAAAGGTTGAGAACCACTGCTGTATCTTGTCCTCGCTCCATGCCATAACACCCCTTCAGGATCTTCCTTTGTTTTCTCCTTCCAGGTGACCTTCCCAGTTCGGATCTTCCATCTGATTGGCGTTGAAACCCTCATTGTCACCAATGCAGCTGGGGGGCTGAATCCTGCTTTCAAAGTCGGGGACATCATGGTGATCCGGGACCACATCAATATGCCTGGATTTTCCGGGCAAAACCCTTTGATAGGACCGAACGATGAGAGGTAACGTGAGCTTCTTGCTTCACTGGACTTCTGTGAGGAGAGAAAACAGTTTCTCTGTGGCTCTTTCAATGACCGCTTCCAGAGCGGTTTTGAAATTGGACTACAGATAGTGCTTGACTTACATCCACAGCTGGGACGAGAACTTCTGTCGCTGTGGTGAAATGTAGCCTGGAATCCCAGGAGGGAGGGGCTGCTTCCAAGGAGGCAATGAGACCGTGAGGGTTGAAATGTCTAGTAGGCAAGAAGAGGGCCAGCAGTTCACAGACAATATCTATAAAGATAGTCCTCGATTTTCAACTATTCGTTTAGTGATTGTTCAAAGATACAACGGTCCCCCAAAAAAGGAGTTACAACCATTTTCCACACGTAACGACCGTTGCAGCACCCTGGTGGTCATGTGATCAAAATTAGGATGCTTGGCAAATGTCAGATATTTATAATGGTTGCAGTGTCCTGGGATCGCGTGATCACCTTTTGCAATCTCTGACAAGCAAAGTCGTGGGAAGCCAAATAGCAATTGCACTTAGACTTATAAACCGCTTCATGGTGTTTTACAGCCCTCTCTAAGTGGTATACAGAGTCGGCCTATTGCCCCCAACAATCTGGGTCCTCATTTTACCCATCTCGAAAGGATGGAAGGCTGAGTCAACCTAAATCGGTCAGGATCGAACTCCTGGTAGTGAGCAGAGTTAGCCTGCAATACTGCATTCTAACCATTGTGCCACCACAGATCAGATTCACTTCACAACTATGTTGCTAACTAAACAACTGCAGCGATTCACTTAACAACTGGCAAGAAGGATTGTAAAATGAGGCAAAAGTCACTTAACTGTCTTGCTTAGGAATGGAAATTTTGGGCTGAAAGTTGGTTGCACGTTGAAGACTAGCTGTAGCTTTACAAGTAGTTGCTTTATTCTGGCAAGATTCTGTCTGTACAACAATAAAGAAACAGCGCTGAAGCAGCTCCATGTATTGTTCTTGGTTTGTTGGGCCTGACATCAATCTTGCCTAATAATAACAACAAAACAACAATAATAACAACAACAATAGACAAGCACCTGCAACATAACACCCCGGACTTAACAATTGTCGATAAGAAAGACAAAAAAGTCTCGATAATGGACGTGGCAGTGCCTGGAGACAGCAGAATAGACGAGAAGGAACTGGAGAAGATGACAAAATACAAAGACCTACAAACCGAAATAGAAAGACTGTGGCAAAAGCAAGCAAGGGTAGTACCAATAGTAATAGGCTCCTTGGGTGCAATCTCAAAACAACTGGAGCACCACTTGAACACCATTGGCATTGACAAATTCGCTATTAGTCAATTGCAAAAGGCAGCCTTACTATGAACTGCTTCCATCCTGCGACGATACCTGTAATACCATCAAACATCCACATCTGCCTATCCCAGGTCCTGGGTAAGGACTCGATAGGTACATAAAAATGCCAAATCCATTCTGAACATCTGGCTGACTGTGCGATGATCCTCAATAATAATAATAATAAGAATAAGAATAAAATAAAGTTGGAAGGGACCTTAGAGGTCATCAAGTCCAACCCTCTGCTCAGGCAGGAAACCCTATACTATTTCAGACAAATAGTCTGTCCAGTCTCTTCTTAAAGACTTCCATTGTTGGAGCATGCACAACTTCTGGAGGCAGGTTGTTCCACTGGTTAATTGTTCTAACTGTCAGGAAGTTTCTCCTTAGTTCTAAGCTGCTTCTCTCCTTGATTAGTTTCCATCCATTGCTTCTTGTCCTGCCTTCAGGCGCTTTGCAGAATAGCTTGACTCCCTCTTCTTTGTGGCAGCCCCTGAGATATTGGAACACTGCTATCATGTCCCCCCTCGTCCTTCATTAAACTAGACATACCCAATTCCAGCAGCCTTTCCTTATATGTTTTCGCCTCCAGTCGCCTGATCATCTTTGTTGCTCTTCTTTGCACTCTTTCCAGAGTCTCAGACTAGAACAACTATATGTCTGCATAGCTGTAGATAAAGTTTACTCTGTGAACTGCTAAGGAAGGTCAGTCTTAGCCCTCTTCCTGCCTACCAGGCATTCCAAGCTCTGTTATCTCTTTGCCTTGTGAGGAGCATCCCTTTCCTAGGATTCCAGACTACGTTCCACTACAGTTGCCAAGTGATTTAGAAGTGAAGTGACTCATGTTCAATTTTACAACCTTTTTGCCATTTTTGTTAAAACGAATCACACTGTTAAGTGAATCTAGCTTCCCCCATTAACTTTGCGTGTTGGAAGCCCCCTGGGGAGGTCTCGATGGGTGATCATGTGACCCTGGGACACTGCAACGGTTGTAAATACATGCTCGTTGCCGAGCACTCATGTTTTGATCACATTGCGACAGTCATAAGTGCAAAGGACCTGGTCCTAATTCACATTTTTCAGTGTTGTCATAACTTCAAACAGTTGTTAAATGAATCATCATAAGTCGGAGACTGTAGCTTTATAGCATTAGGGCAGTGGTTCTCAACCTTTTTAATGCCACAACCCCCAACCGGTCGTAAATCGAGGACTACTCGACTGGTGCAGCACCGTTTGCAGAATGGGACTTTTGGCAGGCTCAGCAGGGCAGAGACAGCCTGGACTATTCCTATTGGCTTTTGAAAGCCAATAGAATTAGACTCTATTCAAGAGAGTCTATTCTATTGGCTTTCAAAAGCCAATAGAATAAAAGGGAGTAGCACAGCTAAGGAAAAGGGGGAAAAAATGGCGAGAACCACTGCATTAGGGCCATATAATATTTAGTTCAGGGTCCAAGGCTGCCTTCTCAGCCTTTATGAACGTTTCTGATTTAAACAGAATTACAGGCTATTTTTCAGATGCAAAGAAAGGAAATACAATCCCGTTGACTCTCCCAAAGGTGCTTTTTTTTTCAGCAGGCAACTGGACTTTTCGTTTTTTTTTTCTTTCTTTGAAGACGTTTCACTTCTCTTCCAAGAACCTTTTCCAGCTCTGATTAGATGGTGGGGAGTGAAGTCAGAACTGAAGAAGCTTCTTGGATGAGAAGCGAAATGTCTCCAAAGACTCCAAGAAAGTCCAAGGGCCTCCTAAAAAAATGCACCTTTGGGACAACCGTGACCTCCATAGACATTTAGCTATATGCACTTTGGGATGAATCCCATGACTCATTTTCCCCTTAATTTTTTTGCAGGTTCGGTGTTCGCTTTCCAGCCATGTCGGATGCCTACAATGAAGACTTGAGAAAACTGGCTGTTATGGTGGCTACTGAAATTGGCTGTTCTGGCTGTATGAGGGAGGGGGTCTACTGCGCCCTGGGAGGCCCCAACTACGAGACCATTGCTGAGTGCCGTTTGCTGCAGAGGCTGGGCGTCGATGCCGTCGGTCAGTCAAGGACAGAGCTAAGAGGAAATGTTCCTCTTGGGGCATAGATCAAAGCAAGTCTTCCTCCAGGCCAACTCCTGATGACCTGATTACTTTTTAGGCAAAAGTACAGAAGAAGATTGTCTTCTTCTGCAATCTATTTTTTAAAAAAAATTCCTGACAGATTTATAAACTGTTTTTCAGGTCGGAGAACAGGGGTGGCTGTATTTAGGAATCTCCTTCCTTATGCAACTGATAGCAAAATGGACAAAAGGCTGATTTCGGATATTAAAAGTACTTAAGAAAGCCGTCCAAGAGAAAGGGATCAGACGCTCCCAAGCTATTTTCCAAAGCTTCCCAAGCTATAGAACAGGCTGTTAGGAACAGGCCGCACAAGCGGCAGGTGAGCGAGCGAAGCTTCATCTGCACATGTGCAAGATCTAGGTTGTACGTGAACCCTTCTCCGGTCCATGGAAAAATTGTCTTCCATGAAACCAGTCCCTGGTACCAAAACGTTTGGAGACTGCTGCTATAGAGAACCCATTTGTTCCAATGATTAAGGCACCAGGCTAGAAACCAGGAGACTGTGAGTTCTAATCTTGCCGTAGGCATGAAAAAAACAGCTGGACCACTCTCCCTCTCAGCCCAACTCACCTCACAGACTTGCTTTTGTGGGGAAAATAGGAGAAGGAAGGAGTATTGACATGTTTGATGCCATGAGTTTATTTTTAAGAGGGATTCTTGGTAGTCTCTGTGCATGGTTGTTGTTTTTTTTTGCAGACATTTCATTACCAAACTAGGTAACATCATCAATGCACAATACAACCAAGCTCAGAGACCACCACGAACCCCTCATTTCAACCCTGAGCTACAAATATTCTCCTCTATTGGTTATGCATAGGTCAGTGATGGCGAACCTTTTAGAGACCGAGTGCCCAAACTGTAACCCAAAACCCATTTATTTATCGCCGAGTGCCAGGTGGGCGTGGCTGTGATGGTCAAGGCAGACTGGGTGGGTGTGGCCAAGGTGGGCATGGTCACCTTGATGTTGCTTGCAGGGAGGGACGCCTGTGAGGGCTGGGCAGGGTTGGGGGAGATCCAAGGGGTCTCTGGCAGGTGGGGTGGTGGGCAAGAGGCTCATCCTGAAAGGTGAGGCGAGGCAGGGCAGGGCAGGGGTGCCATTGTCGCAGGGCAAGATGAGGCAGGGGCCGGGGTGGCTGCTGCCTGACACCATCGGCCCCTGCACACAGAGGCCAGCGAGCATATGGGGGGGGGGCGACAGTGTCCATCAGCAAACACAGCCTGCCGGTCCCTCGATCGGCACACTCTGGGGCTCCGCAGCCTACCGCCAGCAATTCAGAGAAGCCGCCTCTGAGCTGGACGGCCGGCCAACAGTTGAGGAGGCAATGCAGTAGGTTGTGCCCGGAAAAAGGAGAGCATGTGAGGCCAGGAGGGATGGGACGGGGGAGGGAAACCAGCTGTGCTGGGATGCATCCGGCCACATGGGACCTCAGCGAGTTAGCAGGTGGTTGGTTGAAAAGGGGCGGTTGCCACCTCTGGGGCATGGCACACATGCCCACAGAGAGGGCTCTGAGTGCCACCTCTGGCATGCGTGCCATAGGTTCGCCACCACTGGTATAGGCAGTCTTCTTCCTCCAGTTTGGCGGAGTGTTGAGAGCTATATCCCCACCTTTCCCAATCCTTCTGAAAGCTGATCCTCTAAGGCAGAGGTCCCCAACCATTTGAGCACCAGGGACCAGTTCTGCGGAGAGAGGTTTTTCTGCAGACCGGAGGGGGCGTGGTTTCATGTAATCCCTGCATCCTGAGGATGGGGCTTTGCTTGTTTGTGTGGACCGGTTTTTGGCATGCCGCGGCCCGGTGCTGGTCCATGGACTGGGGATTGGGGACCCCTGCTCTAATGCTTTCCCCTTTCCTTCCCCCCTTCCAGGCATGAGCACAGTTCCTGAGGTCATTGTGGCCCGTCACTGTGGCCTCCGGGTTTTTGGCTTCTCCCTCATCACCAACAAAGCCATTCTGGACTATGACACCAAAGAGAAGGCCAACCATGAAGAAGTCTTGGAAGCCAGCCGCCAAAGCGCCCGCACCCTTGAGAAGCTGGTCTCCATGATGGTGCAGCGCATCGAAGGCAACAACAACTTAGCCTAGGGGCCATCCAGCTCACGATCCTCCATGTGACTTTGGGCAAGGAGAGAATATGCTTCTTATTAAATCCCGCTGCTAAGATTCCCGCTCTTGGGCATGATGCAGACATTTTGGTCTGGAAAGTTGCCAAGAGTGGAAGTAGCATCCTTTTAATCCTGCCTACTGTCCACCTCTGACCAAGAAGCCCTTTTTTTTGTTTGCCTGTTTTTGTCCTTCGTTGTGTTGTTTCTGCATGTTGGTAGTTCATGTCCCATCTCATCTGTTTTTCTGTAAAAGTCCTCCAGAAACCCCCGTTGGAGCAGACTATGTGAGAAATCAGCTCATGTAGGCCTGTTTCATTTTAAAATCAGGGATGTGAGGACTCTAGAAGTCCTTTTAACCATTTCAAAATAGCCGTTCCCTCATCAGCAACCTAGTAACAGCTGGCTGTTTTTTCTTTTTTTTACGGTACCATTTTGTTTCTGATTGCAGCTTTGGGTTCAGTTTTCTGAATCCTAAAATCATTGTTGGAGGGGAGTCAAAGACCACCAAATTCAACCTGTTAAATGTTTGGGTCTTCTTCTATGCTTGGGCATTTTGAACAGGGAATCTTAATTGCTATGCAATAACTTGTCTGGCCTCTCATCCTTCCAATACTTGAAATATTATTCACGGAAGTTCTTTCAGGTTCCGTTTGGTCTTTGCAGTTACCCGTTGAAGTTGCACATTAATCCCTTGGATTAACCTGTTTCCAACCACACTTGTGATCCAAAGATGCTACTGAATTGCTCAGAACTTGAATCCACCATCTTCAGGCAATAAGCAGGCGAGGTCATGTTTTCACAAAATGGATGACGGTGATAAGTGAAAGGTCAGGAGCTATGTCAAATTTAACTCACCTGGATGCACCGCCATACCAACTAGAACAAAAGGCCCTTCTGCATATAAGAATTAAGTACATCCTATTTGGGTTAGAACTCTGAATTGCTAGCATCCTGTGTGAGGAGATCTGTGTGGAGCAGCCTTCATAGATGTCTAACCTTGAATCTGAATCTGTTTTGTAAGGGTCTATGGCAGAGGTAGGCCACCTTGGCTCTTTTATGACTCGTGGACTTCAACTCCCAGAATTCCTGAGCCAGCATGGCTCAGCTTGGAAACCTCTCCCTTTCCCCTCAGCATGGCTGGCTCAGGAATTCTGGGAGTTGAAGTCCACGAGTCATAAAAGAGCCACGGTCGCCTACCCCTGGTCTATGGAGATTCTCAGTCATCCAGGTCATGGTTGCTTTTTCACAAGGCAACTGGACTTTGCCAAGAATAGCCAGAACTGAAGAAGCTTCTTGAATGAGAAGCGAAAAGTCTTCAAGGAAAAACTAAGGTCCAGTTGCCTTTTGAAAAAGCACCTTTGGGACACTTTTGTAAGGAGAATTCTGTAAGAAGTAGACCAAGGCTTACTCCTTTGTGTCTCATTGTCTTCTGTGAGCATAGTCAGATGTTCTTGTTTAAGGGACTGCTATGCCCAAGGGAAGTGGGCATCCTTGTATGTTCTTCTTTTTTATAGTTTCCCTTAGCTTCCAGATCTTGCCAGGTTCTCAATGGGTAAGGGATTAAGTGTGGTTTTCCACTTCTCCTCTAACCAACAATGTGATTGGACCATTGAACTTGCTGGTCCACAGGGAGAAAGTCAATGCACAGTTTTTGCAAGCAGCTGATGATCCTGGAAATCCCAAATTTATTAAGTGACCCAGAACATCAGGAGCAAGCTTCGTTCACATTCAACTCTATCCAGAGATTCATTTGCACCTAGCTATTTCCAGGCGCGGGTAGAGGAGCCCATCACCCCTCCCCTCTCTTATCTAAGAAGGGAATCCTCTAATTTGTTACTACTGTTAATCTTATCTTCTTAGCCTAATAATTCTGCCTGCCTGCAGGGGAAACAGGAGGAGGCAAATGATGGCGCGTAGTGATGATGTCATCAGCCACGTGTCTTCTTTGATATCCTTGTGGCTTGTTTTGCACTGGTGCTTGTTCTTGTTTGGAGCTCCTAGTGGATCACCTAATGGATCTTCATGTGAAGGACTAGGTCTACAGCTCTAGTGGAAATGTCTTTGTTCTTATGATGTGGTCCAAGGATTCCGTGGGTTTTTTTTTTTTCTGATTTAAGAAGAAGTTGGTTTCTGTAGCAGTGGCCAATTACTTCCCCAAATTTGTTACATTCTGGGATGAATAACTCATTAGGCCCAGAGATGTTGGAGGGGAGACTTAACTGATGTGAAAGTTTAGGGCTCAGATTCTTGTAAAGACAAATGTGAATGCTGCAGGGAACAAACCAGTTGGGAAATAATTCTGGTGTGTTCTCATATTTTCCATAACAATGTGCAAAACTTAAAAGAGGTGGAATTTTTGCAAGAGAGAGAGAGAGAGAGAGAGAGAGAGAGAGAGAGAGAGAGAGAGAGAGAGGTCAATTGCAACTTCAGTTCTGCACATCCAATTTCCCTTTGAGGCACAAAGCTGGTTTAAAGGAGACCTTCCAGGCACTGAAATCCAGACCACCCCCCCTCCCCATATAATCAGTTACACAACCTCTTCTGTTGTGTAAAGATACTATTCCGAAATACAGTTTTGATTTGTGCTGGTAAATCTTTCTTCCCCCATTTGCTTTTCTGAATCCCATTTTTTCTTTTCTCTCAGTTCACCCTGGGCTCAAAAACGAGCTCTTGCCATTTTTCAAAGCATGCTGAGGAATCAAACCAAAACTGAGAGGAAGTGATGACGAATGCTGGTTCGCTAAGCCTGAATGTTTCAAAATTAGACATAATGAATATATTTTTTTAGAGCATCCACAATCTGCACTTTTTATTTTATTTAAAACTACTGTAATGAAGTTCCCCCATTTATTAATTGTAATGTAACTAAATAAATAAGTTAGAATGAGAAGACCCGTTGTGGTTTGTACCGATGTTCTTTGGTAAGATGATGAAGAAGGAGAGAAAATGGTTGTGAGATTTTCCAAGCAATTTCTCTCCAGGCTTCCAAATCCTCCAGCATTTCAGTTCAAGAAGAAGGAGGGGCCTGTTTATGTTTATTTGCCAGTTTCCATGAACAGGTAGGTAGCCCTTAACTTACCACCATTTGTTTAGTAACTGTTTGAAGTTAGAAGAGCACAGAAAAAAGTGACTTGTGATCATTTTCCACACTTAACCATTCCAGCATTCCCACGATCGTGTGATCAAATTTCGAATGTAGTTCATATTTATGACGGTTTGCAGTGCCCCACAGGGTCATGTGGTCATTTTTGCAACCTTCTGACAAGCAAAGTCTATGGGGAAGCCAAATTCGCTTAACAACCTTGTTATTAACAAATGCAGAGATTCACTTAACAACTATGGCAGTGAAGGCGAACCTTTTAGAGACCGAGTGCCCAAACTGCAACTCAAAACCCATGTATCATCGGGTGCTGGGTGGGTGTGGCCCATTGGGTGGGTGTGGCCCATTGGGTGGGCGTGGTCACGGTAACAGCAGACTGGGTCGGACTAAAAGGTTCAATCAATCAATTCCAACTTTGCGAGATCTTTTTTTTCCCCGTGAGAAGTTGAAATTGATTGATTGATTGAATCCTGTTTTTTTTTTTTTTTTGCACATGGCAGTAGAGGCCTAAAGCGAAAAGATTTTATAAAACCCAGTTGAAGGCCTAGGACTGGGGCAACGGACTGCGCGTCCACAGAGAGGGCTCTGTGTGCCACCTGTGGCACGCGTGCCATAGGTTCGCCACCACGGAACTATGGTAACGAAGGTTGTAAAATAGGGCTAAGCTTCTTTAACAGCTGTCTTGCTTAGCAACATAAATTTTTTGCACTCAATGGTGGTCGTACATCGAGGGCTTCCTATATTTGAGAGCTTCAATTGCTTCCTCTTCCTCCTCCTTGTAGTAACGGATTTGTTAGTTTTCTCTTTCACGTTGTACAACAATTCAGAAATTGCTTCTCGCTTCCCTTAGGTTTCCCCAGAGAGTTCTTTATTTTCTGATGTTTTAACTTGGGAGATGTTAATCGGGATATAGGGATGCATAAGGAATCAGTTTAGAGGAAGTCAGGCCAGGTAGAGTCACACCTTTCCTGCTTCAGATCCTGACTGGTAGATGTTTTCCCCACCTGTTGGCTGGTGAGGTAGGATGCTAAAGAATGAAACCTTGTTTAGAAGTCTACAAAAGCTGACATACTCTTCAGTCAGAACACACCCATTCAACTGAGGCTTGGCAGAGATCTGTAGGTTGGCAAGGGGAATTAACATTTCACGCCATCTGACTCGGATAGAGAGTAGAGTTTTATGAGATGCACTCATATTATAATCCTTTGATTTGTGGCTAATAGATTGGTTTGTTCAACCTGTAAAATCAAACCCTGGCTTATACAATAGCAATAGCATTTAGACTTAGTGGCCAAAATTGTGGAAATCTTTTGGGAAAAGTATATTTTTGAAGTTTGATGGCTAATAATACCAGTTTTTTTGGAGTGCGATCAAACCGGTCAGTCCTAGAGGAGATCAACCCCAACTGCTCTTTAGAAGGCCAGATCCTAAAGTTGAAACTCAAATACTTTGGCCACCTAAGGAGAAGGAAGGACTCACTGGAGAAGAGCCTGATGCTGGGAAAGATTGAGGGCAATAGAAGAAAGGGACGACAGAGAATGAGGTGACTGGATGGAGTCACTGAAGCAGTAGGTGTGAACTTAAATGGACTCCAGGAGATGGTAGAAGACAGGAAGGCCTGGAGGAACATTGTCCATGGGGTCACGATGAGTCGGACATGACTTCACAACTAACAACAACAATACCACTTTTTTTGGAGTAGTACATAAAATTATATATCAATAGAGAGATAATTTAATCAAGAATGTAATGCAATAACTTTTATGAAGGATTTGCTGTTAGAATATCAGTTATAAAGAAGAAAAGTGAAACACTAGAAAAACGATATATACAAAAATTATCACCATAGAAAAAACGAGATATACAAAAATTATCACCATGTCAGTTAATACTTAGTTGGGTAACTTTTAGCATGAATTATGGCCTTACAACGTCTTCCCATGGAGTGAATCAAGTCCTTTAGTTCTGCAGCTGTTAAATAATGTGAAACCAAGATTGAATGATTGCTTCTATTAACTGGGTTTTATTGCTGAGTCGCTTCTGACTAACAAGTTTCTTTAATCGGCTCCATAGATTTTCAATTGGGTTAAGATCTGGGCTTTTCCCAGGCCATTCCAGCAGTGGAATATGATTATCTTGAAACCACTTTTTGCACACAGCAGCAACATGACATGGAGCTGAATTCTGTTGAAATATAAATGCCACATTGTCTTGGAAAAGATCATGTGCAGAAGGCTTCAGTTTGGACTCAAGTATTTCATTAATGTATTTTTGGCCATTTATATTCCCATTAATCACACAAATTCTGCCCACACCTTTTGATGTCATACAACCCCAGATCATAACACTGACTGGGTGTTTTAAGGTACATGTAATGCAATCAGGATGCAAATCTTCTCTGATTCTTCTCCTTACATATCTTATGTCATCACTATCAAACAGGGAGATCTTGGTCTCATCACTCCAAATAACACTGTCCTATTGTTCCTCTGTCCAGGTAACATGGGTTTTAGCCCAGTTTAATCTTTTCAACCTTTGTTTGAGAGATAAACGTGGCTTTTTTCGTGGAATTCTAGATTTTAGACCAAATTCCTGCGGTCTGCGCCGAACAGTCCTTGCACTCAACTTCACATTGCATTGTGCCATTTCATCTTGTATACACCCAGATAATTTTCTTCTGTCACGTAGGCACAGTCTCTTAATTCTTCTATCATCACTTGCTGTTGTGCACCTTTTCATGCCTTTACCAGTGTGGTTTTATAGTGGCTGAATCTCCTTATACCTCTTCAAAAACTTAGAAATGCCACCTTTGGTTAAGTTTCCACCAATTTTTCTTCCAATTTCTTTATAATTGTAGCCTTGTTCACTTAATAATACTATTTTACATCGATGTCTGGGTAATCAGTCAACTCTTTGCACTATTACTTTAATTTTATTACGTTTTACAAGCTCACTAAATGAAAGAACACAAAAAACCCCAACCAACTTGGTAGCACACTGACAAATGTCCTCCTCTCAGCTTCAATACATGACATCAATAACTGCATCCTACTGT